AATGAGATCAATCCACAATTAATACCAAATAATTTAGCAACTTCTAACGCATCCCTAATTAAAAAAATATTATCAAAAATTGATCTATTTGGTATAGAGTAATTTTGATTAGGCTGTATAATTTGGTCCAGTACTTTACTTAGTCTTACAGCTAAAGCCTTTGATAAAATTTTATAATCTGAACACAAAAGTGACACAGGTCTCCAGTTACCTATTTTTTGAAGATCTCCTTTTTTGGGTAAAAGAGTAATAACTGCTCTTCTACAACTCAAAGGCAATGATCCTTTATTTAAACTGTCATTTAAAACTAAAAACAAATCTTCACCAATCACTGGCCATAAAACTTTATAAAAATCAACAGGAATTCCATCAATGCCAGGCGATTTGCCATTTTCCATGCTCATCATTACTGTATATAATTCATCTTGTGATATAGGCAGCTCAAGCATTGCATTGGATTCATCATCAACTTTAGAGAGATTTTCAAAAAAAACTGAGTTTTCAACATCCCTCTGTAATACTTCACATTTATATAAAGATGAATAAAAATTAACTGCATATTTGCGAATCTTACTAGAATCTGTAATATCTTCTCCTGTTTCAGACTTTAGTGAATGTATTAATCGGCTTTTTCCATTCTTTTTTTCCAAATTGAAGAAAAATTTTGAAGGTGCATCCATTTCTGAAATATTTTGAAACCGAGAACGAATTAAAGCACCCTTTGCTTTTACATTCAATAAATCTGCAAGTAAATCTTTTTTAGTTTTACTTTCTTCAAAATCAGTGCTATTATTTGTAGAAGCTGTTGTATTTAAAAGTTCTGTTATACTTTTTTCTAACTCTTTCATTGCTCGCATTGTTTCTTTAGTAACATTAAAAGTGTACTCTTTACATAACTGTTTAATTTGTATTTTCCCGCAATCCCACCATTGTTGCAGTGAAGAATACATTTGTTTTTGTTTTTTAAAATTTTCCCAAAAAACAGAAAAAAATTCTTTAAAATTTTCATCATTTAAAAGTGATGTATTAAAGTGCCAGTATGCACTTTTTACTTTCACCGAATTGACAAAAATCTTACAAATAACCGCACAGTGGTCAGAAAACCCAACAGGAATTATACGACAATCTTTGACATAATTTATTTGAAACTTAAACATATAGAACCTGTCAAGTCTTGCCATAGAAATTTGGTTATCTTTGCTATGTACCCAAGTATATTGTCTATCATTTAAATGTACATTTCTCCACACATCACATAAATCACAAACTTGTACTAAATTCTTCATTTCTTTCTGTGAAGCATTATGTGGTTCTAAATTATTTCTATCCATTTTATCATTTTCTGTGCAATTAAAATCTCCACCTAAAAACAATAAATCTTCTGAATCTACATTATTGATAACATCACAAAACTTCTTTAAAAAAATTATTCTTTCAGCTCCTTTATTAGGAGCATAAATATTTAAAAACACCATTGTTGCATGTTCAAACTTGACTTTGACTTTCAAAAAACGGCCTTTAACTATTTCTTCTGTTTCAACAGACAGTGGAGACACTGTCTTAGAAAACAAAACAGCTACTCCTCCACTGTTGTAAGCCAAATGGCTCATAAAAATCTGACCATCCCAGTCTTTCTTCCAGTTTATTTCATTAAGATTGTCACTATGTGATTCTTGAATAAACGTGACATCTAGGCGTTTCATTTTTATGAATTCAAATAAACACATTCTTTTCTGACTGTCTCTAGCACCATTTAAATTGAGAGTTCCAATGTTAAACACCCTCATAGTAAATGATGTTTTAAAAATAAAAGAAACAATCAGAAATACTGCAACCTTAACCAAGAACAAATTACACCAAATCTGGTTTTTCATCATTAAGGAGGTTTTTTTTTTTTACTTTACCCACTAATTTCCTTAGACGATAAACCTCTGTGTCTATGAATGCACCTTCTCTAGTCAGAATCTTTACATCTTTCACGAAAGCAGAAACATCTTCAAAATAATCCTCAGCCTCCACGTTTGGTAAAAATTTTGTTTCCCTCAGAAATTTCTTGATTCCCTCAGCCGTATATCTTTGTGTTTGACTTTCACTTTCATTTTGCGATGAAAAGGAATAAACTGAAGAACTGGAATCAGAAGAATCAGCATCGTTATCTGATATTATATAATCAGCCTTACTCTTGTCTTTTTTTGCTTGTTTGATCATTTTGTTTTCACTGACTTTTTTTCTTTTATTAGGAACTTTAAAGATTTGCTCTGGTTCAATTTCCATTTCCACTATCCCTTCACCTGTACTTTCCTTAGCTGTTCCAGCTGTGGAAAAAGTTGCCTTTTGGCTACTTGTGTCATCCTTAGAATTAATTGAGGTTTGAACAGCAGACGAGCCTGCTACTACCTCTGCCATAGTAGGAGCCACCGCACCTCCCCCGCCTCTCTCCTCAGAGACCGCAGCATCAGCCGCAGGTGCAGCGGCATCTACCGCGACAGACGCAGCCGCAGAAGACTCGCTTTGTACGTCTCCCTGACCTGTCTCACCTCCACTTGTACACGATCGAATTAAATGCCCAATTTTTCCGCACCCGAAGCACTTCATTATGCTCTCGGATGTTGCGTAAATGGTGTAATTGAACCCATCTACTTTGACATTAAACGATAGGTTTAATTCGTCATTGTTGTCTTTCAGAATCATATAAACTTGTCTTCTAAAAGACATCACATGTTTAAGCATGGGTGATTTACACCCAAGAGCAATTTTCCTGATCGGTGAAACTAATTTGCCAAAAGAAGATAATTCTTTTGCAATGCATGCATCGGAAACAAACGGAGGTATGTTTGACACAATAATTTTCCTGGATGGACTACTAAGAGGAAGTACAGGTATGAGTTCATCATTTATCACCACTCCTTTTTGCACAATCTCATTAGTTTTTTCTATCGTGTTCAAAAACAAAACAACCGCATTGTTCATCCTAGAAGCTGAAACCACCGATGAACATCCCACTACTTCGCCAACCGCTAGAATACAATCTTCCACACTGGCCTTACACATGATTTTAATTCCATGACGCCGAGTCAAACTTTCACAAACTGCGTCTCCTGACGACGCCATACCTCCCGGCAACAAAACACGCCGGGAGTAAACTCACTACACTCACAAACACTAACCAACAGCACACGTATACAAACAACAAACAAAGAGAGAAAAGTTAGAAAGAGAACCATTCAAACTCACCGCACTTTCCCAACACTCGCTCACCACACACTCGCTCAGGCACATGCGCACACGCACAGAGAGAGAGAGAGAGAGGCAAAACGCGCCAAAGCCCGAAACTGAAAGCGAGACGTGACTTTTAAGGGGCTGTTTCATATGGATTTATTAATCATTCTTACTGTTCAGTGATCGCAAACTGCCGTAGTTTATTAAAGACGCAAACCTCTCACTGCACGTCAGCTGCGCGCCTTCAGCAGACCTCCTCATTCCTGCAGCACGAGGACTTTATGATTGTTTATGCGCGCCAAAAGTGGCGGATCTGTCCGGTAAAATATCTGACTGCGTGTCACCGCATCACTGTTTGGCGAAATATTTGACTGCATGTCAATGCATAACAAACGACTGAAAGGATATAACTAGAGAAATCTCCACTGTGCTACTGAGAGCGTATGGCAAGCCATTTTAGCATTTAAACCTTGATCAGACTATCCATAAATATATTTAGAGATATCTCTAATTATATTTTGACTTGTCATAATTATAATTCGACTAGTCAGATTGGAAATATCTGCAAATATATTATGACTGACTAGTCATATTCCTCCATTGACTTCCATTGAAAAATATTTGCAGATATCCCCAAATGAATTTTGACTAGTCAAAAATCCAATTCAAGATATCTACAACTGTAATTAGACTTTTAGTAAATTAATTAGAGATATCTTCAAATATATTTGTAAATATCTCTAAATATGATGAATTAAAGATATCTCTAAATGTATTATGACTAGTAAAAACTCAGAGATATCAATTACAATTGTTACTAGTCAAAATTCATCTGATTTCGTACTAGTACAATTGTAATTGCAGATATGTCTAATTGTCATTCTGAGTAGTGCACTAAAAGCATCCTCTCCTGATACTGTCTGTGAACCCCCCACAATCATCAATCCCCTCAATCAGCACAGCTATGTTCTGCTAAATCCTCCACAAGCACCAAACCATCAACACAGCCACATTCTGCCCCAGCAAGTCAGTTTCAAACATAAAAAAAAACAAACAAACAAACTTTGTTGCTTTTTTGTGGCTGGCAGATGACAATAGCAGGGCTGTATCTTTTAGTATTATATAGAATACTTCTGTTCTGCCAGATCTCCCGGGCAGGGGTTTATTTAGATTTATTCGGTTTATTTTAGTTTTTGGAATTCTGTGCATTGGAAAGAAGTTCTTTCAGAAGAAGAACAGTTTTTTGAAGTATTATTTGTTTTTATTCTGTCTATTCAGTGTCCTTCAACAAGAACAGTGGTGGTGGGGTTCATAATATTCACAATGGTATTTTATTAGTTGTCGGTTTAACCATGGATGAGATAATGGCTTCTATGTTATTTTCTTTTCAATGACATTTCTTATCACATGTTCAAAAACAACAGCCAATATTGCATATCTATAATTTATATAATGGGTATAATTAAACAATACTTTCACTATAACGTAAATTAGAAGTGTAATAGAAAAAATATATATTTTTGCGCCATTTTGAATTTTACTCGAATACAAATACAAATACAAATACTTTTCCCCCCTCAACAAATACAAATACAAATACAAATACCGGCTGCTCCGCACATCCCTAACACACACACACACAGTTGAAGTCAAAATTATTATTAAATTTAATTCGTATTATTTAATTAGAATTAAATTTATATTGTATTCAAATATTTTACCAGAATTGAGGTCACTCTGCATTGACGGTATTCATGTTAATAGCAAACAGTTTACAAATACGTTTTTAAAAAAATTTATTGCCAAAACAATACTTTCCATATCAAGAAAATATGTTCTACAAGAGTTCAGTAAAGAATCAAGAAAAATAAGAAAACGATACTTAACATACCCGTTTCTTTCCTAAGGCTAAAGAAGTAGCATTTAAAAGTGTAAATGACATTTACCCATCTATTAACTTTTTACATTAAAAATTTAACTGTGGAAACAATTCATGCAGTTTTTGCAAGACAGATATTGAAACTGTAGATCATATTTTTTCACTGTAAAGTTATAAAACAGTTGTGGATGTAATTTCAGAAGTGGCTGCATTCCAGACAGATACAAATACACCCTTTAACTGGGGTCTCCATCAAAGTTGGTATATTTTTGAAGGAAAAGACCTGAACTTTTTGGCAAATAATCGAATTATTCCAGTTAAATACTTCACTGATGCAAATTTGTTAAGGTGAAACCCCACTTTAATGGATGGAGGAATGATCTGAAGAGGTCTCTTCACTCCACAAGGAACAGAAATGCCTGAAAGCTTTCACATGACTTAGGCTCGTTTCTATTACTTGATTAAGACCCTCACAACCGCCTTTTTCATTTTATTTATATATATTTTATATACCTACACTGTAAGCCCGGACAGGTTGATTGAACTTAAAAAATTTATGGAAACCCGCTGCCCTAAAAAAGCTAATTTCGTCTCGTTGAAAAAACAACACTTTTTAAGTTTATTGTACTTAAGATTTCAAATGCATTTAATTAAATATTTAGTTGACTGAAATAAAGGTTTTTAGTACAACAATATTTAAATCTTAGGTACAATAAACCTAAAAAGTATTGTTTTTTCAACAAGACGAAATTAGCTTTTTTAGGGCAGCGAGTTTCCATAAATTTTTTAAGTTCAATCAACCTGTATAAACTTAAAACATAAAATCTTGACCTGAATGTTATGACAGAAATAATTTTAACCTTAGCTATTCACAATAAATGATTTAATGAAAATACCCCTAATTACAAACAAGGACAAAGAATAAAAATTTACTTTACAGTTTATTTAAAATCATTTAGAAATATCACTCCGAAACAAGTGACAAAACTAGAAAATGCCTTGTATAACAATTAGTCAATATTTATTGTTATAAATCTTATTAAAACACTTGTTTAAAATTTTTAAATACATTTTTACAAACATATCCAAAAAATAAACAACCACAGGATGTTATTACATTTTAACATTATGGAATATTTACACTTGCCAAACACTAAAGCATAGTTTTAATTTTTTTTATCTCACAGTTAGGACAGCAAGCCTGAAGGAACATGCCTTTTCTGTACCAGTTTACATGACAAGTTGATTTTTAACAGCCAGAATCTTACCCTTCAGCATCTTCTTACCCAAACTTGTTGAATAAAAAGAAGGGTATTGTCCATGCATTTTGTGTAGCCTAGGTGCAGTGCATAGGTTGATCCAAAAAGACACTTGGCCTGGGGAATATTGTCTATATTGTCCATTACAACATTTCCCTCCAAGATGATTCCCAGAGAATGGGTGGAGGTGGAAGGACAGGGGTTGCAGAGCCACATCTTAATTTTCTTGGTTAAGAATTCCAACGGGCACATGTTGATTTGAGTCTCCATCATCTGAAGCCTGACAACAATAAATAGATAACATAAATATATCTTAGAGGTGTACATTTGATTTTAATATATATTATTTGTATGTAATGTTTTTTAGTTGTATGCAAGCATAATTTGTTAATTGTATACCCAAACATATCCAGTATTCAATGATATATCAAATATAAAAATACTACAAATATTTTTGTATACAAGTCAATGCATACGGCATAAAAAGATTTGATATAATTAAATTACTAAAGACTTTATATAATTCTACTTATCATTTTAGAGTTTCAAAGGAGTTATAACATGAATTCAAATTTCATGTTGATCATTATTCTATTTATTAATGAACTACAATAAGACATTGCTTGGGTGATTTATTTATTGTTATTGCTAACATAAATTTACATTAAGAAATATAATGCAAAAAAACTTAGATTAATATACAAAAACTTTTATTAAGGATACTTACAAAACATGCTTTGAAGAACTGTTGGGTCATCACCAACAACTACTGGAAGCACTCAAATGGCAACACATGGCATGTCAGTGAGGTCAGACGCCTGAGGTGTTGCAGAGAAACAACATTGTATCATTTGTCAACATGAGAGAAAGGGCATTTTCATGTATTAAAATTTAGTCTCTGTCACTGAGGATTTCTAAAGTAATTATATAAATTTCAGAATTCAGCACACAATGGCATCAATTTATGTCAAAGGCATGTACAAACAATGGCATACACAAACCTTGTTATTTTGTAGAAGATAAAAATCTGTCCAGTGAATCCTCTCTTTGACCTGAAGATCTGAATCAGCTGTGGGCAGTGATGATCAAGAGACCAATATAATTCTTGCTTAAGATTCTTCCACACTATCTGGTTGAACTCTTGATACACCTGTAGTAGTAAAACACAAAAACGTTTATTAACATCAGAGAAATGTCAAAATTAAACAACTGTCAAATTAGCATGTTATCATGTTTATCAATACTGTACTCATTTCATTACAAATACATTCCTGATATATGCATGGAAATGGCTGGCTTTTTGCATAGCTCCCATGTTTAAATCTGCAATGTTTTAATAAGTACCATCTTTGTCACAAGCAAATGAGCAATACTTACATTTTCATCTCATCCTGGTTGGCCTGTCTTTGATCTTTCTGCAATCTACAGTTACAAAAATATACATTAGATTACTAGCTGACAAAACACATTTACATAATTTGATCTGTTATCTCCAAATTTCCCACAAACAGCTATTGTTAATCAAAAGAATTAGAGAGCTACAGTTAATTATTTAGCTTTCATTCTAATTAACTGAAAATTCACTTGCTAAGACTGATGAGCACGAGGTTGCATATCTTTAAAAACTGCCAACTAACATGAATTCGTATTTCCGAAGGGGCAAATCTCAATGTATTCTAGTCAGTTAATACTTCACTTACAAGAAAAAAAAAGTAAAAAAAATGTTAAAAACAGCTCAGGTTATGTTATGCTAAACATCTGACGACACATAACCACCACTGAAAAAATAATCAGTTTACACAAAAGATAACGCGGATGACTCATCGAATACAGCATCAATATTAAACTTTATACGTGACGACCTCATAAAGCATGTTTCCACGTACAGTAACTGTAACGAATTATATAGATGAAATGCAGCGGCCGTGATCGGTTATACGTGGCATAAATGAATACGCTAACACAGGCAAAACTTACATTAACTTTTTTTTACATAATATATGATCTATCATGATCCTATTACGCACGTCTTTGCACTTTTCACGTCTTAGAACTGTTAATAAATGTGGCAATGGCGGTTGCGATTGACCGGAACAATAACATGATCCTAACGTCAGACACAGCTTAATCTTACATGTGGTTTTCTTGCTAACGGTTACATACTTTGTTTATTAAAGGAAAACAATGTGGACTGTTTGAGACAAAAGTATGAAATCGTACTCACAGTGATCAGCAGCCATTAGAAAATGCGCGCTCACGCTGTATTCACCAGTGACGTCAGTCCAAAGACAAAGAGCCAATCACATTTCCCCTTGCACATCACTCCTTTACCAATAGACTAAAATAAGCTTTGTTAAGTACATTCAATTTAAACATTCCAGTAGAATCAAAAATATCATGCAAATCGTACAATAAACTAAACAAAATGGATAACTAAGCAAAAAAGTTGTTTTTTATGTTTATTGAATCTAAGTATTTTGAATTAATACAACTTTAGGGATAACAGTGTAGTCATACTTTTATATCAACACAAACATATGTATTGGATTGTTGAATATGCCGTAATGGTTTGTGCTTGAACTTATGGTAAAAAAAAAACTACTTCGTCCCCTGTGCTTCCTTATTGATATCAAGAATTACATTCATCTAGTAAGAAATCAATTCTTGATATTAAATTTAAAAGCTGCCTATAGTAACATTTAACTGGTGAAAATTCAATTCTTGTTATAAAAATTGTTAATATCAAATAAGTAATTCTTATAAACAATTCATGTTTTGATATCAACAGTTACATTTTTGATAACAATAACTGATTTTTTGATATCAAGAATGCTGATTATTGATATCAATAATTAAATTGTTGACAAATCATATCCTGCATGAGAATGAATAAAAGTCAAAACGGCTTGCCATATTCAGCGAACTCATCTGAGTGTCAAGGCTCAATAGATGGCAGCATAGCCACATTTTTAACAGCCAAGGATAAGGTTCGCTCTCAAAGTCGAAAAAATGTCGGAACAACGCATTTCCCAGCCATTAATAGTTTAATCAAAAACTGAACGTGCTGATGAAGTGTGCTGCAGTCTTACCCAATGTGTGTGTTTGTGTGTGTGTGTAAGAGCGAGAGAGAGAGAGAGAGAGAGAGAGAGAGAGAGAGAGAGAGAGAGTTTGGACTAGCGCGAGCCGTGATGGCTCACTTGTGGTAAGAAGGATGAGCTGCGTTTTATATTAAGCAAAATGTTTTCTCTTACCAGGTTGCGTAAACAGTCGTCATAACACATTCATCCACATACGCCCTGACATATCTTGTGTTCCTCATCGTAACACGATCCCTATAACAGTTGGATTTTGATTGTGTTGAAAGAGTTAAAAATAAATGCATATTTGTACCAGAATATAGAATAACAGCCGAAACACGCTTCCCAAAAGAACTAAACATTGCTTTATTATGCTACTGGACATCGAGCAGGATTTGGTGGATTCTTTTGTTGGTAGATTGTGTTGGGATTCTTCCTGTAAAAATAATTAGTATAATCCGTTCTTTACTGTAGCAGTCGAGCAGGTGATAAAATGTGGGTGACATTTGTTGGGTAAAAGGTATGCCTTCTCATAGACCACTAGTTGTTTTCTAATTAATAAAGTAAAATAGATTTCTTAGAAAATAGGAATTCATACACTGTAAAAAATTCTGGTTGTCTTAAAAATTTTAAGCTGAATCAAATTAAACTTACGAGTCTACTTATATTGTGTTAAACTTAGACTTAAAACACCTTGCGTAACTTATAAAATTAAGTTAAAACAGGATTATCTTATATTAATAAGTTCATAAGTTCAATTGATTATACAATTTTTACAGTGTAAGTTCTGTACTGCTTTAAAATTAAAAATGAGATCTCCTCCAATTGTTCTTTTTGATGATCTTTATTTATTGTTATTATTTGGGACTGTTCATTTTGCAAATATGTTGTGTGAAAGGTGTCTTAGGCTTTATTAGGAGTGATTTTTTAATGAATGTATACTGTAAATAATAAATTGCCCTACATTTTTAAGCTGAATCAAATTAATCTTATAATTCCATTGAACTATTGTGTTAAACTGATTTAAAACAGTTAGCGTAACCTATAAAATTAAGTTAAAATAAGTTACAATGACCTAAAACATATGCTGTCAGGACTAATTAATCATATAATTTTTAATAGTGTAAGTTCTATTCTGCCCCAAAATTAAAAATGATATCTACTCCAATTGTTCTTTTTCATGAAATGTGTCTTAGGCATTATTAGGAGTGATTTTTTTTTCTAAATTAATACACACACACACACACACACACACACACACACACACACACACACACACACACACACACACACACACACATTTATATATATATATATATATATATATATATACACACACACACATATATATATATATATATATATATATATATATATATATATATATATATATATATATGTATATTTATAATTAAAGTTTTTTATTTTAATGTATTATTTTTTTCAATTTTTAATCGAGATATAAGACAGTTGAGAATACAGACAGGAAAGCACTGGAAGCAGAGAGAGGGGTAAGGTCGTCAAAGGACCTCGATCCAGTAATTGAACTCAGGTCGTTGTGAGCATTATGGTGCTATTTGTCGGCGCATTTGACCACTAGGCTATTGGCGCCGACAGGGGTGATTTTTTTAATGAATGTACACTGTAAAAATATACTGGTTGCCTTAAATTTTAAGCTAAATCAAATTTACTTTATGAGTCCATTAAACTTATATTATGTTAACCTGACCTAAACAGCTTGTGTAACTTATAAAATTAAGTTAAAACAAAATTAACTTATTTTAATTTATTTACAATGACCTAAAAACATGTTGTCACAATGAATTAATCATATTTTTTACAGTGTAGGACTACTTTATATTGTAGGGATGCTATGTAGGGCTTTGTTGAGTACACTGTAAAAAAAAAAGATGATTAATTAGTCCTGTCAGCGTATGTTTTCAAGTCATTGTAAGAAATTAAACTAAGTTAATGATGTTCTAACTCTTATAAGTTACACACACTGTTCTAAGTCAGTTTAACATAATATAAGTTCAATGGACTAATTTGATTCAGCTTAAAAATTTGAGGCAACCAGGATTTTTTAAAAATTGGTTTTGCAGCTTGCAATATTCAAACTCCAGACCTCCTGTTTTTTGTTTTAATGAACAGTTTTGAGCAGTACCTTTCCCTGTTCCAATTGTCTAAGAACAAAAAGGCTTTTAAAAACTCCTTTTTCATCATCCACAATATTAGCATTTTTCTCTTTTTTCTTTTTGTTTTCCCGTTATTTGTATGGTTTTTCATTGTTAATTGTTACTTTATTTGTATTGTTTGTCATTGTTAATTGTTATTTTGCCTATATGACATTTAATGTAAGCCTACACTTTAAAAAAAAATCCTGGTTGCCTTCAATTTTTAAGCTGAATCAAATTAACCTTATGAGTCCATTGAATTTATATAATATTAAAACTTAAAACAGTGTGTATAACTTATAAAATTAAATTAGAACATGATTAACTTGGTTTAATTAGTTACAATTAACTAAAACATATGCTGTCAGGACTAATCGATCATATATATATATATATATTTTACAGTCTATATATACTATTGTATGTATATAATTGTCTATAGAAGTAGCCTTTATGCACATATAGTATCAAATAAATTTGGAAAAAATAATAAATGTAAAAAAAGTTATGACACACACACACACACGATATGCTATTTAAAGCTATAAAATTAGCTTTAAATACTTAATTAGTTCGTTTCAAGACTGTAGCCTATTAGACGAGTTTCTTAAAACTAAAAATATTCGATTATATAATGTTAAATGTCATTAAATCTATTATTAAATCCATTTTGATTGGTTGTAGTTCATTTAAAAAGCAACGACATTCCGTTAAGATCGATCTGGATCAAACAATTTGATTTGTAGGCTATTTTAAAAAAATAATTTATTAATATGTATTTTAACCGGGAAAGCTGAATGCATTGCTTCGGATCAGGAACATATGAAATTATATGGCTCACGAAAAGACGACTTTATGAGGTGATGTTTTTTATGAGAAGCCGTAAGATTCTGCAGACTCCCGCTGCATGCAGACTGTAGATCTCCATCCATATTCCCCTGTATCACACATGATGGTTGAGTCCAGCGCCTTCCTCTAGATGCGGACTGTCTCATCGCTCCATTCTGTCTCCAAGGTTTGGATCGAGGGAATCACTTTTGGTTTCAACACCACCGTGTCTCATCTCTGCAGTGGCTAATCTCGGTGATATGAGAGCTAATATAGACGAATCCGTGTGCCATAGGCGTCAGATGTTCTTGCCAAAACTGGATCTCTATGCATTACAGTGATCGGTGAGAATAAAACGCAAGACACCGTGGCGCTGCGTGGAATTACAGCGGACAAGATGGGCACGTTGAAGCACATCCTGCTGCTTTTCACAGGTTTTGTGGCCGCAGCTCACGGTAAGAAAGTCTGTCTTATAAGCTGGGTGCTGTTGCCGTTATTCCCCTTGAGGAATGACTTCTCTTTTATATGTCTGCAAAAGTCCTTCAGACCTTGAATATAGATGGAGGTTAATTATGCATTGATAAATCCTCAACTTGCTATAACAGTCTTTCAATAATGTATAATCGCTATATATATATATATATATATATATATATATATATATATATATATATATATATATATATATATATATATATATATATATATATGTTACATAGACATATTGGCATAACATCAGTCTGAATGTTTATCTGATTTAATGAAGGACGAGGAATCAAGACGATATTGCTTTTTGACCGACAATGGTATCGATTAATCTCTATTATTTGTCACAATGTCTGTTTCAAATGAGGGTTGAGTGGGAGATGGAGTCGTGCGCTTCATTATTTCTCTCATAATCACGTTATATTTAACACAAACGAACAACAGTTTTGTGTTAGCCTACACAAGCGTATTGTATAAACTTTTTTTATGGATCACACACACAGATGTGGTGGTGTGTAAGGCCTCAGTCACCTCTTCCATTGATTCTACATATGATACTGTTACGTGGCCTCACTTTGCAAGTTCCCAAACATATTTGTTTACACAGTCTTTCTATGTTGTGTGTGAGGGAGCCAACATTGTATATTCAGTTGGAAGATTTCTTGACGTAAACAATGTTAATATAAACTTTTGAGAAGCCAGATGTTTATGCTATTGTGTTATGATGCAGCTAATTTGTAGCTTTAATGTTGAGGTTTTTAGACGAATGCGTGACGCATTTTATTTCGTCTTGTTGTTAAAAATAGATAGACATGTTACATTTTAAGTTGGATTAAAGTTGTTTTTAATCGACAGGTTAGCTACCATACCTTTTCATTCCACAATAAAACTCAATATTATTATAAGTTCCAAAGTGTCTATCATTAATGCTGCTGCTGGTGTAGGCCTGTGTTTGCTAGTTATCGTTTAGCTCAACGAACCATGATTACTGGTAAAGTCTATGCAAAAATGCCTGAACGTCATTTGTTGTACCACCAATTATGGCCTATTCACTGAAATAGTCGCTGTTGAGTCTGAACTATATTTGGAGTGGCACTGTATAAGACATCTCTTATGTCTGTTAATGAATCTGTTTGGTTTTAATTTGTGAGGAACACTTGTACATTTTCTTTATGGCAATCTAATGTTCCCCTACCCCCTTAACTGAAAAAAATAATATAGGTCTAACATAGTTCCTCTGTGTCCATATGAGAGAGAGAGAGAGAGATGGAGAGACTATAGCTTTACATTGTACCTGAGATAGCTAGCACCTAAATGGTGCTTTATCAATTATAAGTGTTTGTTAAATGACATAATTGTTGCTTTCAGATTTCAATATACACCTTTATTTAATAATTAACATAACAGTTCAATAGCTGTTTAAGAACACATCAAAATGCATTTAAAATGCCAAATATACAATTAAATTTAATAAACTAGTCAATCAATTAATCAGTCAGCAAATAGTACAGTAAAAGTATACATTTTACAGTATTTTACAGTTCCAAAAGTTGTCTAAAAGTGGAACAGAAGCTGTTTCCGACATGCCATTATATTTATTTATAAAAAGGTGGGTGCAACAGTTCCATAATGTAAATAGCCTACATATATACAATTAGGAACTCATTACATCGTAGCCCATCAAAACAATGACAACTGTTGCTTAATATTATATGTTATTATTATGATAATTAATATTAATGTTGATTAATATAATGCATGAAATGGCCTATTGTTATACATTATAGTAATGTTTAATATAATGCATAAAATTGATGTATTTAAGGAAAAGGGATGTGAGGTTCTGTTTACACAAATAGTAAACGACACAGATGCTGAGCAAATAATATTTTCAGCCCTGGTGTACATGAAAGTCTCTGGGTGTCTGTGAACCCTTATATAAACAGTATTAGCCCTTTTGTTTTCGTTTTTAAATATTTACCAAATTATGTTTAACAGAGCAAGGAATTTTTCTCAGTATGTCTGATAACATTTTTTCTTCTGGAGAAAGTCTTGTTTGTTTTATCTAAGCTAAAATAAAAGCAGTTTTTAATTTTTTAAAAAACATTTTAAGGTCATTATTATTAACCCAACGAACCGTGATTATTTGTTTTTGATTGTCTACAGAACAAACCATTGTTATGCAATGCCTAATTACCTTAACTTGCCTAATTAACCTAATTAACCTAGTTAAGCCTTTACATTGCAATTTAAGCTGAATACTAGTGTCTTGAAAAATATCTAGTAAATGTATATGGGGCTAATAATTTAGGAGGGCTAATAATTCTGTCTTCAACTGTATATTTTAATGATTAATTAACGAGAACTCATTGTCTGGCCATGTAAGTTTTCATCAGAATCATGATTTTCTGGTAGCAGTACAGCACAGTGTTTGGCTTAAAAATACTCTGATTGGGTGTATGGATCTGGAAAGGTGAGTGCTATGTCAGACTTAACAAGTGGATAATGCTTCCACTTCAGCAATCTGTCACTTAAATGAGATCAGAGCAACAGCAAACAGCAAGGATGAAATTAATTTCCAATGGACAAAGCAAAGTCCCGCTTCATGTTTTCTTTTCATGCTGAATTTAATGTAGTTTTGCTGCCTGTGCCATGCTGATGAGAGAGATGCATAACCTACTCGTGCTCCATTAATAAGCATCAAAGGAGAGAAGCGGGCAGGGCTGTTGCTTAACATTGATCTGTTTCTTCTATATTTCACTGTGTAGATTAGTGGAATTTAGTTTTGGATTGTGGATGATACAGCGTAAGCTGGTGCTCTTTCAAAGTAAAACCAAAACACATTTTAGCTACATAGTTTAGCTATTTTTGTGCTCTCAAAAATACTTTTACTGCTTGTTCAAACTACTTGTTTAAAATGAGCTGAAACAACACAATTATGGACATTTTTTTGGGGGGGGGCGTCATTTGTTATGCTAACTTAATGGATTTGTGATGGAACCATTTTTTGCAGTGTTACTTGATGGATTTTTAAAATTTATTTGTATAAATATACAAATGTAAGTCCTATTGGGTTAGTTACGTTCACAAACCATGAGAGAGGCATACCCTTTAGAGTTCTACAGTTGGTATGATCAAACACAGGCTCATTCTGAAAGCATAGCCCTTATACATTTCAGGAGATCAGGAATTATGTAGCTAGAAGTACGTATTGGTAAGGCTGCTTGATTTTGGAAAAAATCATAATCACGATTATTTTGGTCATAATTATAATCACGATTATTCAAAACGATTATCAGTCAAAATTATTAGCGCTCCTGAGAATTTTTCTTTTTTTAAATAACTATTTCCCAAATTATGTTAAATAGAGCAAGGAATTTTAACAGTATTTCCTCTAATTTGTTTTCTTCTAGAGAAAGTCTTATTTGTTTTATTTTAGCTAGAATAAAAGCAGGTTTAAATATTTTGAAACCCATTTTTAAGGTCAATATTATTAGACCCCTTAAGCAATATATTTTTTGATTGTCTGCAGAAGAATCTACTCTTATACAATGACTTGCCTAATTACTCTAATTAAGCCTTTGAATTGCACTTTAATTTGAATGCTTGTATTTTGAAAAATATCTAGTAAAATATTACGTACTGTCATCATAGCAAAGATAAAACAAATCAGTAATTAGACATGATATATCAAAACTATTATGTTCAGAAATACATAAAAAATATTTCCATTAAACAGAAATTGGAGGAAAAGGGTTGCTAATATTCAGGAGGGCTAATAATTCTGACTACAACTGTATAAATACAGTTATTTTCCACCCTGCAAAGGAAAGAGAAATAAATACAATAGAATAAAAATATGAAACAAACTGTGCTTTAAGCATCTTCACCCTAAGAAAAACACTTTAGCTACAAAAATCCTTCAGTCAAGAGCAGAGAGGTATTTTCTCGTCGTTTGATTAATGATAAAAACAGGCGGCAGCAGGAACATCGCGCTGTCTTTTTAATGGTTTCTCTTTCACGTGTCTTTTGATTCTCAACTCGTTTGTTTATTACGCAAATGAGGGTTAATATGAATAATCGCTAATCACCGCGTTTTGACACCTATTTGACCATTAAAGCGCTCACGTTAAGACTACTTTAGATGTCTGCGCTCCTCTGCTCGTCTCAGTGTGGGAATGAGACCGAATGCTGGTCTTTCACGGTTTTGGTATATGATGCAATAATCGTTTATCTCGATTAATGGTTTTTCATAATCGTTAGAAGCCATAATCAAAATCGAAATTGGATTTTCGATTAATTCTACAGCCCTACGTATTGGCATCTTCAAAACGAACACTACTGGTTGGTATGACACCGTTCCTTTTCATGCTTATAAACGGACCCGCTTACCACCATATGGATGGCTTTTCTGCTTTTGTCCAGTAGCCACTAAAAACTAAAACACATTTTTTTTTTATTTTTTTATTTTATTAATTTAATTTGATTTTTATTGTTCCTAAATGGTTAAAAGGAAAGGACAGTGGCTCAGTGGTTAGCACTGTCGCCTCTCAACAAGAAGGTTGCTGGTTCGAGCCCCAGCTAGGTCAGTTGGCATTTCTGTGTGGAGTTTGCATGTTCTCCCCATGTTCACGTGGGTTTCCTCCGGGTGCTCCGGTTTCCCCCACAGTCCAAAGACATGCGCTATAGATGAATTGAATGAACTAAATTGGTCGTAGTGTATGAGTGTGTGTGTGTGAATGTGAGTTTATGGTTGATTCTTAGTACTAGGTTGCAGCTGAAAGGGAATCTGCTGAGTAAAACATGCTGGTTTGTTCTGCTGTGGTAACCCCTGATGAATAAGGGACTAAGCTGAAGGAAAATGAATGAATAGTTAAAAGAAGGAGATTTATCCATTTTTTTTATTTTTTTTATACACTATTATGGCAGCATCAGTTTCCCCTTTCCTCTCCCCTGGTCATGTGACTTA